TGCCTTTTCTATAAATATTTTCATGGTAATTGTCCTGAAGAGCTTTCATCTAAACTTTACGAATTTAAGCACAGTACTAGAGTGGTAGCAAGGTCTCATTTTACATTGAAATAGCTAAATGTAACTATGTTCTAGACTAACAGTTTCTTATCTTTCACTTGCCACTTGTGGAACTCTACAGGTTTCTTGCTTTCTAGTCGACTTTGATCTTCAGAAATTGAAATGCAATGTCAATCGTTTTCTATCTTGCTTGCAATGAAATGATTAAAAACAAAAATAAAATAAGAAAAAACAAAAAAAAAAAAAACATTCAAAATGATTATCAGTATACAAAAGTTTGGCAGCTATTGCTCCAGAAATTTCAAATTGATGTGTTCCTTGATTTTTGAACTGATCATTTTTATAATACAAGGAAACTTCAAGCATTACATAATGTTGAATTGAAATAAACATATTGAAACTTTTGGGAACTGTTTGTGCTTTTCTATTGGTCAAGGTGGAGCACAGGAGGATTTGGGCACATGGGTTGTAGTTCAACTTGCATAAGCCCAATCTCATTATTTAATAGTCATACCTCACATACAAGTGCAGCTGAATTTTATGCAAATAACATGACTTAAAAAAAAAATATAAAATGTTTTCCAATATCATACACGAGGGTGTGGAGTTGAAAGTTCTCAGTTGAATTAAGATATTTAAAAAAAAAACAAAAACTGATGTTTAGTCATTTGGCGAGAATTTTTCAGTCCCCTTTCATAGTAGTATCAAAAATGTATCAAGTGATAAGTCAATAATTTCACACTGATTCAGGCTTGGTTTCAATCAAATTTTTAATATAAGAATTTGGACAATAGCTGATATATACCACAGTCAAATATGAAGAGTTTGAAATACAGTAAAACCCTGATTTTATACACCCTGAGTTCAAGTGAATTTGGATATAATGCAATGGGTGGTCAATGATTACATTATAATTGTGTCATATTGTACATATATGAAAAGCTAACTAAAAGATGACGAATATTAATTTTCTTGAACTTGTAGTGTACCAGCTTTTTGCAGGATGATATTTTACAGATGTCAACAACAACTGTATTACAAATTCATACTGTATTAAAAATAAATGACAAGTCAAAAGCAAAAATTTGTTAGCAATAATTTTAAATTTTAATCTTATACATTAATAATTTCTTGTTCAGGTCCCAGTTTGTTATGAAGACAAGAGGATGTAATATATTATTATTTATCAGTTAGTAAATTTCTTATTCTGTTAATACAAGAAAAATATACGTAATGAACTTCTGATGAAGTTATTGGGTGAAAATGGTTTTAGATATGAACAATGTGAAAAAGGTAGCAGCCATTTAGGATTGTAAAAAAGATTTCTTGATACATATGATCTTACAGTACGTTTCATATTAAACTGTAATTATGTCTCTTAAATCATTCCTGGAGTTGGATACAATGAGTAAGATAAAAAAAATTCTGCCACAATATTGTTGGAAGTTTTTATACTAATGACCAGAATAGTGGCTTTTAAGATATAAAAACTTAATATTAATTAGCAGCTTTCGAATCTAAGATTTTTTTTTTTCCTGTGAGGTTGTAGCTTTATTTATTTTTTATTTTTTTTTAAGTGTCTTTTGTTCAAATTAAGAAATTTGATAAATTTTCACAGAATTTTTTTCTTCAGTGAAAAATGAGATATAAAGGTATTTGTTTTTGACAAACATACGGGGCCATTGACAGAGCTTTCTTCCAAAATTAACCAAACAATGCTTTTGGAAGTTGTTTGGATTTATCATATACAAATCCTGACGACTACAAACATAAATGTTTCCGCTGTCATCTGTACAGACGTCCGAGGTCTCTTTGCCAGAATCCGCACTGTATGAGAACTGAAGCTTACCATCCAGACTGTAGCAATGTATTTTTTCAGCAACAAAATCAAGTAAGAGAAATGTATCAGGAGTTGGTCCACAAGATATTCTATGATTGCAACTCCATTTTCTTGGAGTATTCAGAACAGATTTAAGAACTGTCCCATCAGGCGATAACTGGTCAACATTACTAAACTTGTCGAGAGCAAGTATTTTCCCATAACAATTACAAAGTGACGTGTATTTCTTATCAGTCCGTAAATGTTTTATCAAAATCATCGAAGCCTCATCCGTATTTCTCTGAAGTAAAAATAAGTCATGACTGCCAGCAACAACACCTATTAAGTTGGATGAAAAAGTGCACATATCTAACGGGGATTCCATACCCTCTGGCTTGTATGAATAAAGTAGTTGATCTTCTGTGTCATATTCTCTTAAATCCCGTCCAAAAAAGTCACTCACCAACACATGATTGTCTTCAGTGACAAAAACAGAAGTAATCATTCTTTCCATTTTGTCAATCAATTGGCGTTCAGACTCAATCAACCGGGGTTGTGAGGGTGGGTACTGGGAAACAAAATCTTCTGTGCATTTCATTAGTAAAGATTCACCTAAAGATAACTGTGATGAAGATTTTTGGATATTTTCTAATCGGCAGCACCCAACACTGATTTCGTTCAACATTTGAAACATTTTTATATACCAAGGCTTATATTCTACAATCACCTGAGACTGACAATTAATACTGTCCAGGTGAAGGTTTTCCAATATTTCCCATTTTGATTTTAGCCTTGGAAAGTGAAGCAAGATGTCTACATTGTCTGCCAAATTCAAGAGCTGTTGAATGTTGTTATTAAGAATTTCCAACTGTTTAAAGTGATTATCTTTCAATTGAATCATTTCCTGTATTGTTTGAATTTCCTTTTCAGTCTTTGCTTCCAAATCGGCAACAAGAGCATTTGCATTTTCCCTCAATCTACGAATAAATTCCTCAGTATTTTGCCAGATTTCCTCCTTCTGCTCAGAACATTGCTTTAGTCTCTCGCTAATCCTGTTCTTCATTTCATCATTTTGTTGTCTCATACTTTCAGCAAGTAGTGCCATCTTCTCTATTATCGACTGACCATCAACTCGTATGTTTGGTGCCACATTTTCGACTGACACAGCCCAGGAACAAGCCTTATCTCCAGAGCTGTGGTCCAGCAAGCAAGAAGAACACATACAAACTTTACATTGTGGACAGTACATTTTAAATCTTTTCTCATGGTTAGCACACTTGGAAGGTGATATAAAATTTTCTAACTTTTGACTTTCCTCATTAGCCAAGTTGATTACGGAGTCATGCGGACGGAGCCTTCGATGCCAAACTTCACATTTTTCACACAGGAATTTCAAGCAGTCATTGCACCAGTGAGCAGAAACAGCACCACCATTATCTTCAGCACATAATTGACATGTATGGCCACTTTGCAGGATGTCACGAGCTTGCAAAAGTTTCTGTATGAATGCATCTAGCCGTATGCTTTCAGCTGCTTGAGAATCTTCAACCAACTGATCATGGTTGATATGACATACTGGACATGACAAATTGGCATCATGTCCAAAGTGTTCTTCATCTGTGCTGAACGTCTTCTCAAAGCAAGAGTTACAATAAGAATGAAGACAAGATAACGATTTTGCCTGCGGATGAAGAAGGTCAGTACTACAGAGAGCACATTTAAGTAATAGGTCAAGTGCCTGTTCACTCACGTCAGCCATTTTCTGTTTTAAGAATACTATGTGAGAATTATCTCAGGGAATATGCAGACTGATTTATTTATTACTTTTTTTTATAGAAAGAATGATGCCTTCTGCTTCTCTGTGAAAGTTAAATTACTTGTCCACTTTCTGTAATAATTAATCTTACTTTTCAAGCAATAATAGAAATGTTATGTTCTCTATAAATAAACTGCTTCATAAAACAATTTTGAGATTTCAGGATACAAGTTGATATGTAATCATCTAATAGTTCACAAATACTCAAGAGATTACCAAAGATTAAAATACTTCTTTTCAAACTTAGTCAGAAATGGAGATTTTATTTTGCATTAGTTTATATATATATATATATATATATAGATATATATATTCCTTGACTCACTCGATGGGTTTTATGACAGCGAGCCTCACCAATATAGGTTTTTCCTCAGACCCCTTCCTAAGCAGTCAACTGCTTAACCATTCAGCTAGACCTGCAAGAGTAAAACAAGTTGATGATTAAAATGACTTCCTACTAAATTTTTGTGAAACAGTATCTTTTAAAATATCAACTTTAAACTAGTTATAACAGTTTGTTTTAAATGCTATGTGCAAAATGAAATAACATCTAAAACCATGGTAATCATGGACCTATAAATAACCATATTCATATAGTTTGTAACTTGAGAAAAAGAAAAAAAGCTAAATTCTTTTGAACTTCCTGGTCATAGATGAGCATTAGTCTGTACATTAAAACAGTACCTTTTAATCAAAGATTTTTAAAACCTTTTATTTCATTTACTACAATATATTGCTATATTCTTCAAACAAATGGCAATGTAATTAAGCCTGAAATGCAACATTCTACAAAAAGTACATGATTAGTATTGAGCCCACTTTCTATGGTTTTCTTTTCTTTTTTGTGGGATTGGGGGTTAAGAATAATTTAATTTGGATATCTGCAAAAACTTTCCATTTTTGTAAAATTCATTTGTGTAACTTCAAACTTAAAAGGAAACAGTTCTGGTTTCCAATCAGTTTATATGGCAACCATTTTCAATATAGAATTACACTGACCTAATTTGGGAAAAAAAAAAAAAAAAAAAAAAAAAAAAAAAAGGCAATTCTTGCAAGGGTAAATCAAAACTTTCAGAAAATTTTCAGAGTTTAAGAACAAATGTCCATATTTGGTCACCAGAAATCCAATGGTAAACAGATTAAGATCAACAAAAACTGTCTATAGTAGTTTTAGGTGCTTCAAGTTTTTTTTTTATTCTACATAAAATTTTTACCTCATTTATTCATAAGGTGATCCCCTATTTCTATAGGTAAAAAGCTTTAATATATTGTCACATATAATGCAACTTTTATAGTAAACTTGTATTAAGAATAAAAAAGAAAAATAAAAAAGAAAAGAATAAAAAAAAAGAAAATAAAAAGAAAAGAATAAAAAGAAAAGAATAAAAAGAAAAGAATAAAAGAAAAGAATAAAAGAAAAGAATAAAAAGAAAAGAATAAAAGAAAAGAATAAAAAGAAAAGAATAAAAAAGAAAAGAATAAAAAGAAAAGAATAAAAAGAAAAGAATAAAAAGAAAAGAATAAAAAGAAAAGAATAAAAAGAAAAGAATAAAAAGAAAAGAATAAAAAGAAAAGAATAAAAAGAAAAGAATAAAAAGAAAAGAATAAAAAGAAAAGAATAAAAAAAAGAAAAAAGAAAAGAATAAAAAGAAAAGAATAAAAAGAAAAGAATAAAAGAAAAGAATAAAAAGAAAAGAATAAAAAAGAAAAGAATAAAAAGAAAAGAATAAAAAGAAAAGAATAAAAAGAAAAGAATAAAAAGAAAAGAATAAAAAGAAAAGAATAAAAAGTCATATTTATAAAAAAGAAAATAACGCTCATCTTCATTTTTATTTTCTAATTCTTTATTTTATTTTTTTTTTTTAAACCAACAAGTCTTGAACTTTGATATTTCAGCCACTTAGAGATAAAAGGTGAAGGTTTCTGCCAGGAAAAAAAAAAATACTGATTGTTTATATACACAAATGAAAGCGCATTAAAATTATAAACACCAAATTGTTCCAAGCAAGCAAAAATAGCCACCTATGTGAATTGGCTATTTATTCATAAGGCCTCAAATGAGTCAGATCACTTGATATCACTTAATTTATCAAAAAGAAAATAAAAAAGTAATGTCAAAATGTCATTTAATACCACCTCTAATTTTGGCTTTGATTCTGATATTAAACTTTCCACATGATAAAAATTATAGGAAAGATAAGTTCATAAAAAATAAACTGATCACATAACACACAAGAAGTTGAAGCAAATAAAAGAAAAATAACAGATTTCCAATCCTTACAGCGGATAAGATTTGAGGTAATGGAAATCTACGCCAGAGAGGCTTCTTTATTTTCAGCTTGCCAGATTAGAAGAGAATATAGCATGTTGCATTCTTTCAAACTGTCTTGATCTGAGATGCAGACCTCACTAATGACAATGATATTAATATTCAGATTTGCAAGCACAATTACAACAGAATGATCCAATGATCACTTATGGTGTGCTGTATTCCATATTGTTCTAATTTTCAGACATTTGATGTCCTTTGATTTAAAATGATAGCGGACATTACTGCCTACTGTGGTCTGTATAGTAGCCACCTATAGGTCCTTAATGATCATAGCCAGAGGTGTCTAGCTAGACCAGTTTGGGATAAACTGGTGAAACTGGCTCAAATCCCATTCAATGCAGGTCAGTTCAGAATTTTTAGCTTCTATAGGATAAGGTTGAAGATTCACTAGGGTACACCAGTTAACAGCTCAACACTGGATACAGACAGTGTCTCACCTGGTCTCATTACATCACTAATTGGAACATGAAGGACTGGCAACATGTACGTGCAGACCAATGAGTCACAGTTCCAGTTGTTTGGGACTGAGGGTTGGTTTTAGGTGTCCCAAGAATTCCAGCTCTCAATAAGGCACTGTGCAAGATAGTGGTGATTCAATAATGGTACAGAATTTGTTTACATAGCATGTGTTGGGTCCACCTAAACACATCACTGATCAGTTACTGCTACCAAAATCATTTAATTCTTTATAATGATTGATTTTTTTAAGGTTATTTAAAGCCCCCCCAAAATTGTTCTTATAATCCAAAAATGATTGTAAGAACAATTTTTTTTCTTGGCAAGTGAATATTGCATTAACATTTTTGGGGATGTGTGGATTCATTCCTTTTTCAAAGATATTTGTAAATAAGTGAATGTAACAAATCTGACTGGAATTCAAACTCAGCAACTGTTATCGATTATAACCACCAGCACAAGCTTACAGCACCTGATATTCCCAAGTGATCAGCCATCTAAGGTACTGACTAGGCCTGATATTGCTTAACTTTGGTGATCAGACAAGGACTGGTGTTTCAATGTGATATGGCTATAAGCCTCTTCATAATGATTGTGACAATTGAAAGTACTAGAATGAAAACATTAACAATTTTGATCCAGATGTGCAACAAAAAATTGAATATAAAGACAAAAATAAACTGACAGACTTGTGTGTGTGTGTGTGTGTGTATATATATATATATATATATATATATATATATATATATATACACACACACATAAATAAATCAATAAATGTTCAATAGACTTATCTCATTGACAGATTCCAGAGTTTTATATAATACTGCTCATCAGGATCAGATGGTCTGATAAATCTATTGATTTATCACCAGATATCATTTTTATACTCTACAGAAAAAAATATTAATCACAGATTCTAAATTTAAAATACATACTATAGAAAAAAAAGGAAAAAGAATAGAGAGAGAGAGAGAGAGTATAAGGAGAGAAGTAGAATTATGAAAAGAAATAACCATGACATAATTCTACATGTGCACACACATTATTTTTTATATATATATATATATATATATATATATATATATATATATATATAGGCATATCTGCACACACACACACACACACACACACACAAGAAAAAACAGAGCACCAATAAAAATCACATCTCTCATATATATATATAAGTTTGGTTAAAGAGCAAGAAAAACTTATGTATTTTGAATGATTATTTCAATTTCAGCAGTGCTATGAATAATTCAGTAACAAAATATAAACTAATGTTTATGAATGTTCTTATTTTATGTATATTTAAGTTTAAAATAAAGAAGTGGATTTTTAAAACAAACAGTAGCAGTAATTATATACTTGGGATCGCTTGGGAATCACACAAGTTCTGATAAAGTTGTTAATAGTTTTATTGTTGTATTATGGAGATCTTATCTGTTAAAACATAATTTAAGAAAATGACAGGCAAGCCCCTTTTTTATATAATTTTTAAGTACTCAGTAATCTTAAAAATTTAAAAAAATATTCTCCATAATCTAATTTTAGGAATTTTGTCTTTAAATTTACTATAATCATTGCTCTTATTTTCTGATAATGTTGTGTATGGTTGACTATACTTTCAAAGATGGGCACGTTACATATTTTATATAAATGAAAATTTTTTTTTAAAAACCTTGGTACAAAAGGATTTATTTTAAGCTTTTCAATTTTTGATTAGTAAATATAGTTTTCACTTAATAACAATATCACCTAACCAGATGAAAGTAATGTAGAGTTTTAAAAGATTCACATATTATAAATTACTATAATCAGAATTTAAAAGAAAAATGAAAAAAATTCTTGTAAAAATTCATTATTCATCAAAAGAAATTTTTAAAACAATATTGTCCTTAAATCTTATAAAAAGAATTAAAAGCTTTTCTGATTAAATAATGTCATAGTTTTATCGCATTTATTATTTTACAATTCTGATATTTTCTGGAAATGAGTAATAGTTAAAAAAAAAAAAAAAGATTTCCATTCTTCAAGGAGTCCAATTTTTAACTCATGAAAATTTTTCAAGACTAAGTGTGTGTGGGGGGAACATGCTAAAAAAAAATATATTTTTATCAAGTTTCCTAAAAAAAAGTAACTTCATTCATTTATGAATAAGTCCTCAAAGTTTAAATTCTGAAAATTATCTGACTTTTGCAAGAATTTTCAAATCAATTTTTTTTTTAACCTAAAAAAAAAAAAAAAAAAGAGAGACACTGAATGTCATGCTGTTTTTCAGCAAAACAATGGAGGTACCAACTTCTTTCATAAGTTCTCTAAATGAAAAAAAAAAATCTTACAGATTGTTGTAGCATATCTACAGATGATGATGGGTATGTCCCCATTCCCATAAATACAGTAGTAAATACCGTATGTGTTGGTCTGCGGTCGGAGATTCGTCTTCAGCTGGGCTGGTTAAGCTATGCCTCTGAGCAGAGAGTATTCTCCGATGGGGCTATGTCAAAGAGCAAAGCCTCGTCTTAGGAAACACCTACCCGACCCTGTTTTATACGGGACCTATGGGGAATTTTTGGCTGAGCCTATGGGCTCGGGAATCCCACATTAAGTCCGGCCTTGTGTCACATCTGACTGCATGGGGCAGTTGGTAGATACCGTCTGCGGCCTGCAGTTGGAGATTCATTGTGGAATTCACTTGACTCACTTCTATGCGCTGCTGACAAATCTTACAAGTGTTGTTCTTGCCCTAAAAGTGTTGTTGTTCTTGCCCTAAAAGTGTTATTGTTCATTACCAACCTTCATGTGATTACTCTATTCAGTAACCTTCCCTCGGTTACACACACACACACACACAGAAAAAAAGAGTAACAAAAGTGTTATTCTTCTTCTATCATTTAGATTTATTAAATTAGGTAAAAAAAAAAAAAATCTTGTTTTGTTTACGTCAGTGGCCAACGTAATAAGTACAATTTTTTCTTTGCTTTTATTTTTTTTCTGGTGAAAAAATTAATTTGGAAATTCTTGCAAAAATCAAATAATTGTCGGATTTTAATGAAACTATCAGTACATATGCACAAAATAAAATTATCGTTTTTTCTGTTTTTTTTTTTTTTTTAAAGAAAATCATGGTAAAAAAGATTTTTTTTTAATGTTACAACCCACTTAATGAAATTTCAAGAAATTTTAAAGTTCATGCAGTCACTGAAAATCTGATTTGAATTGTTAAGAGAGAAAAAGAGAGAGAAAAAAAAAAAAAAGAGAGAAAAAAAAGAGAGAAAAAAAGAGAGAGAAAAAAAGAGAGAGAAAAAAAGAAGAGAGAAAAAAAGAGAGAGAGAAAAAAGAGAGAGAGAAAAAGAGAGAGAAAAAAAGAGAGAAAAAAAAGAGAGAGAAAAAAAGAGAGAGAGAAAAAGAAGAGAGAGAGAGAGAAAAAGAGAGAGAGAAAAAAGAGAGAGAGAGAAAAAAGAGAGAGAAAAAGAGAGAAAAAAGAGAGAGAGAAAAAAAGAGAGAGAAAAAAAAGAGAGAGAAAAAAAAGAGAGAGAAAAAAAAGAGAGAGAAAAAAAAGAGAGAGAAAAAAAAGAGAGAGAAAAAAGAGAGAGAAAAAAAAGAGAGAGAAAAAAAAGAGAGAGAAAAAAAAGAGAGAAAAAAAAGAGAGAGAAAAAAAGAGAGAGAGAAAAAAGAGAGAGAGAAAAAGAGAGAGAGAAAAAAAGAGAGAGAGAAAAAAAGAGAGAAAAAAAGAGAGAGAGAAAAAGAGAGAGAAAAAGAGAGAGAGAAAAAAGAGAGAGAGAAAAAAGAGAGAGAGAAAAAAGAGAGAGAGAAAAAGAGAGAGAGAAAAGAGAGAGAAAAAGAGAGAAAAAAAGAGAGAGAGAAAAAAAAAGAGAGAGAGAAAAAAGAGAGAGAGAAAAAGAGAGAGAGAAAAAAAGAGAGAGAGAGAGAGAGAAAAAGAGAGAGAAGAGAGAGAAAAAAGAGAGAGAGAAAAAAAAGAGAGAGAGAAAAAAGAGAGAGAAGAGAAAAAGAGAGAGAGAAAAAAAAGAGAGAAAAAAAGAGAGAGAAAAAAAAAAGAGAGAGAAAAAGAGAGAGAGAAAAAAAGAGAGAGAGAAAAAAAGAGAGAGAAAAAAAGAGAGAGAGAAAAAGAGAGAGAGAAAAAAGAGAGAGAAAAAGAGAGAAAGAGAGAAAAAAAGAGAGAGAAAAAAGAGAGAGAGAAAAAAAAGAGAGAAGAAAAAAAAGAGAGAGAAAAAAAGAGAGAGAGAAAAAAGAGAGAGAGAAAAAAAGAGAGAGAGAAAAAAAGAGAGAGAGAAAAAAAGAGAGAGAGAAAAAAGAGAGAGAAAAAAAGAGAGAGAGAAAAAAGAGAGAGAAAAAAGAGAGAGAGAAAAGAGAGAGAAAAAAAGAGAGAGAAAAAAGAGAGAGAGAAAAAAAGAGAGAGAAAAAAAGAGAGAGAGAAAAAAGAGAGAGAGAAAAAAGAGAGAGAGAAAAAAGAGAGAGAGAGAAAAAAAGAGAGAGAAAAAAGAGAGAGAAAAAAAGAGAGAAAAAAAGAGAGAGAGAAAAAAGAAGAGAGAGAGAAAAAGAGAAGAGAAAAAAGAGAAAGAAAAAAGAGAGAGAGAAAAAAAAAGAGAAGAGAAAAAAAAAGAGAGAAAAAGAGAAAAAAGAGAAAAAAGAGAAGAGAAAAAAAAGAGAGAGAAAAAAAGAGAGAGAAAAAAAAGAAAGAGAAAAAAAAAAAGAGAGAAAAAAAAGAGAAAGAAGAAAAAAGAGAGAGAGAAAAAAAGAGAAAAAAAGAGAGAAAAAAAAGAGAGAGAGAAAAAAGAAGAGAGAGAAAAAAAAAGAAGAGAGAAAAGAGAGAGAGAAAAAAGAGAGAGAGAAAAAGAGAGAGAGAAAAAAAAAGAAAAGAAAAAAGAGAGAGAGAAAAAAAGAGAGAGAAAAAAGAGAAAGAAAAAAGAGAGAGAGAAAAAAAGAGAGAGAAAAAAAGAGAGAGAAAAAGAGAGAGAGAAAGAGAAAAAAAAGAGAGAAAAAAAAGAGAGAGAGAAAAAAGAGAGAGAGAAAAAAGAGAGAGAGAAAAAAAGAGAGAGAAAAAAGAGAGAGAGAAAAAAAGAGAGAGAGAAAAAAGAAGAGAAAAAAAAGAAAGAGAAAAAAAAAAAAAGAGAGAGAGAAAAAAGAGAAAGAAAAAGAGAGAGAAAAAAGAGAGAGAAAAAAAGAGAAAAGAAAAAAAGAGAGAGAAAAAAAAGAAAAAAAAAAAGAGAGAGAAAAAAAAAAGAGAGAGAAAAAAGAGAGAAAAAAGAGAGAGAAAAAAAAGAGAGAGAAAAAGAGAGAAAAAAAAAAGAGAAAGAGAAAAAGAGAGAGAAAAAAAGAGAGAGAAAAAGAGAGAGAAAAAAGAGAGAGAAAAAGAGAGAGAGAAAAAAAGAAAAAAAAAAGAAAAGAGAAAAAAGAGAGAGAAAAAAGAGAGAAAAAAAAAAGAGAGAAAGAAAAAAAAAGAGAGAAAGAAAAAAAGAGAGAGAAAAAAAAGAGAAAGAAAAGAGAGAAAAGAGAAAAAAAAGAGAGAAAGAAAAGAAAAAAGAAAAAAAAAGAGAGAGAAAGAAGAGAAAAGAAAAAAGAGAGAAAAAAAAAGAGAGAGAAAAGAAAAAAGAGAGAAAGAAAAAAAAGAGAGAGAAAGAAAAAAAGAGAGAGAAAAAGAAAAAAAAGAGAGAGAAAAAGAAAAAAAAGAGAGAGAAAAAGAAAAAAAAGAGAGAGAAAAAGAAAAAAAGAGAGAGAAAAAGAAAAAGAAAAAAATGAGCAATAAAACTATGACATTTAATTAGAAAAGCTTTTAATTGCTTTTATAAATAATATTTAAGGGCACTACTGCATTTAGAAAAAAATTTCGATGAATAATTAATTTTTACAAGAATTGTTTGAATTTTTTTAAATTAAATAAATCGTTTAAAATTCTGCATTGTTTCAAGGCTGTTCGGTGATATTGTTATTAAGTGAAAACTATATTTACAAATCAAAAACTGAAAAACTTAAGTCATTTAACCCTAATATTTTTAAAATAATTTTCTTTTTTTTTTTTAGCGTAAGTATGGATGCCCGTCACATGTTTTAAAGAGTTGTCCTTCCTAAAAATCTGACCGTCTGCAATTCTTTCAGTATTCATTTTTTTTTTTTCATCGTGTTTTTAGTTTATGTCTAAAACAGGTTTTACAAATCATCTCTTCAAAAGTTTAAACTTTAAAATAATTTTAACTTTAAAAAAAAAAAAAAAAAAAAATTCCTATTTCACTAAATATTTTTGTTGTGTGTAGGTCATTAACTTCAATTAAGTAACCTAACCAGAACCTGGAGACGAAACTCACAAAATACTTCTAAAAACATTTTAACTTAAATTAAATTTTTAATTTTTCTTATTCAATTTCTATTTGAAATTCTAATTTTTTTTAATTTACGTGTCATTTTGAAATTTCCGTTCAAATTATTTTTACTTTAACTCCTTTATTTCATTAAGAAGTGTGTCGACCAGGAAAAAACGGTCTTTTTGTTTATTATGAAAGAGAAAATTCTTCCTTTTGATTGGCTGCTGAAATTGGCAGAGGTTTGCAAAAGATTAAAGAATCATTCTTTTTTTTCCGGGATCTCTTCCCCTTCTAGATAAAGGATATGATAAAAAGGGCCGAAATCTCCCATCGCATAATTCAGGCGCATCACTGAAGATAAAAGAAAGGATCGTAGCATAGCAGCTGCACTGGACTATTATTATATAATTTATTATGAGAAAATAAAAAGCTAGAGACGCCAAATCAATTCTCTGGCGCCAAACCAACATGGTAAAAAGCCAAATTTAAGAAAATTGGCATAACTTAGCCGGAATTGTGAAAAAGGAGAGAGAGAACTGAGAATATCATTGCATATTTATAGGCTTCGTTAAAGGAACGGAGGACCCCCCCGTCCCTAGCGACATTTTTTTTTTTTTTAGTAAAGTGGGAAACCCACAATTTCAATAAAGAAAAACGGAAAATTCGGGCAAAAATATCTTACTATAAAAAAGTGTTTTCTCTAAAATGAAAGCAAAATTAAAATAAAATTGCTACCAAGTTTTAAAATCTTTGCGAAAATATTTTGGAGGTGTGTTTCACCTCCTCCCTATTTCGTGAGTACTTTTAAATTGGGGGTGGAGAGAAGTTTTGAAAAGAAAAGTCCTTGAAGCTATTTAATTATTTCAGTAAAAAATTTATAAGTGCGGACATACAGAAAATTCGGACTGCATCTTACCAAACATAATTCAATAAAAGAAGAAAAAAAAAAAAAACAAACCTAAAACAGATGTTTTTTTGTTTTTTTTTTAATTAGTGCTTGCATAATTTAAAAAAAGAAAAAAAAAACGTTAAATATTTACTTTCAGATTGGACAGAAAAATAATTTACACTTAAACGTCTGTTTTGCAAAAATTACTTGTAATTTTTCAGTACAATTTTTAAATTCATTCCGTCGCTGTTCATCACAAGGGTAAAGAAAGACATATTTGAAAATTAACTGCCATTTTCTTTTTTCTTTAAGAATTTATTTTTTTAGTAATTATTTTTTGTATTGAGTTCTCGCCTTTGATTAATGTGTTAAGTTTCATAAAAAAAAAAAAATAGAATAAAAAATCGTATTTTTCGCAAAAATTTTAAAACAAGGTTTAACGAGTGATTTTTTGCTTTCATTTGGGAGATAATCCATTTTGCTGGTTTGTTGGTATCTAGAAATAAGGGATTCTTTTAAAAGGCGTGTTTAAAAAATCTTTAACGTTTATAATTTATTTTTATGTTATGCAATCATTAAAATGTTGTATATTGATTAAATTAAATTAAATTTGCTGGAAATTTATTAGAGAAAGCGAATGTAAATTTTTGATTTCGTCGGGAAAGGGGGAGATTTCCACGTTCGTGACATCACTTGGCGGCACCATGTTTGCTGATTGGGGGGGGGAGGCATTTTCAATTTTAGTTCACCCCAGCAAAACGGCTTTTCTCATAATCATTATTATAATTATTATTTTATTTTTTTTTTTTTTTTTTTTAGGTAAAATAATTGACGTCCATAAAGAAAGCGAAAAAAAAAAGCAAAAACAAAAAAAAAAAAACGGTCATGCGAAGGGCGGGAAACGAGCCTAAAACATGAATTGTTTAAAACGCAAATTTATAGAAATAAAATACCAGTAAATTTAAAGTAGTGTTTTTTTTTTTTTTTACTTTTCGTAGTTAAAGAATTCCATAAAAGTACCCACAGACTTAAACTCAATTTAAAATTCAACGAATAAACGGTTTCTCTTTTTCTTTTTTTCACCCAGAGCATGTGCGTTAAAAAACTGTTGTGAAAGAGGTTCATTACACAAACTAAAATTACATTTTGCTTCTGAAAATAAACCAACTTACTGATATCCTGTTTCGACGAATAAATGTAATGACTTGCAGTTGTGAAGTAAAATTCGTTAAAAATAAAATGATTCCTTCGTTAGTATATTGCAGCTAGGTACCATGTACATCGCCGGCTTTGTAAAACAATGTGTACTTCCGGTATTACAGTCGTAAAACATTTATTGCTATGTTCACGTTTAAAAACAAAAGAAAGTATATTGCCTATTACTTTAATTTTAAAAACATAATTACTTATAGCATTTTTATTAATAAATTTAAATAACTCTTTCTTGATTGATAGTATTGAAACTGTCGTTTTACAAGATGAGTGGTTTGCTTTACGGGAGTTATTGGAAAGCGTGCTTTGATTGGACAAAGGAAAATTTTTTAAGACGATTTCGTTCGACATTTAATTCTTGGTAGTTGTAAAAATATTTTAAGGAACAAAATTTTTTAGTGAAAAGATTTATTGGAAATATTAAATCATTTCCAGAATTCGATTTTTAAAGCAATATGACAGGAAGTGCTACTTCCTCCACTCTGTGGATGGGAGATGTGAGTTTATTTTTACAAATTTTAAATTTAGTTACATACAAGTACAACATACAAGTGTTTTTTATTTTTATAAAATTATTTACCCTCTACTTTTTTATTTTAATTGTATTTAAGAAAAACTTTATTTTTTCCTCCGAGTAAAGTTTTCTGTTCAATATTATCTTGAAATTTAGCACAATTGATTGAGTGTATTTCAGGTCCATATGCTATGTGTTGTTGTTTAGTTAGAAAAGAAAAGATTAACATTTTATTAACAACCATTGATATTATTTTTACTATTGTTTCTTTAAGACAAGTTTTGCTTTTGGTTTTCGAGAAAAGTTAAATTCTTGTAAAAAATCTGTCTTCTGATTCTCTTTAAAATGTAATTTCAGTGGGTTTTTATGCAGATTTTTATTCACTTAGAGACAGAAAAAAATAATTCCATTTGTTAATAAAATTGAACTAAAACAAAAAGGCTTATTTTTCTCCTTTTTGCACTTCGTATTTGTTATCAAAAAGACAAAGATGATGCTGTTTTTACCTCATTTCAGGCCGCCTCAGCCCGTGTGCCGGTTTAGGGGGAAGGAAGCACATTTCTGCATCTTTCTTTAAAAAGGTTATCTATCGAATTCTTAAATTTTTTAAGGTGAAACGTGTCAATCAGTCTCAGAAAAAGGAATACGCAGAACTGATGGTAAATTAATGAATTTTGCTTAGAAATTGTCAAATAGAACAAAAACATTAGAATCTTTGTATAATTGGGACAACATGAACTTGGAAGGATTTAAAAAAAAAGCCAGCTGAGGTCACTGTGACCACAGCTTGTCTAGTCCAGTAAAAGAAAATTTTTTGAGCGGCTGTTTGGTATAAGGTCATGTTGAGATGACCTGTCTACATAACCTTGTTCTTCAATACGAGTGAAGACAGCGTGGCCGTAAATAGAGGAAATCTCTGATCTCGGTGCTATTGTAAAATCAATAGTCAAAATTATGACTTTACCTGTCGCGGGTTAGGGAGCTCGTCTGGTTGCCAATTTCTCGTGAGTTCGATCTTCACAGGATGATCTCTAGCTAGACTTGTTGCCCTGTGTCAAGAAGCTATTTGTTTTCCTTATTAAGTTTATAGACAAAACTTTAAAAAAAAGAATGGTCTTAAAATTAGTCAGAAACACAATTAAAGTAAAAATGAATTTACAATTGAACCCACAGGTTTTTTTTTTTGTTTTTTTTTTTTTCACATGAAGTGAGTTTTTCTTTTATCGAAAGAAATTTTATCGAAATATTAATTCATTTCTGTCCATGCACATTTGGAGTGGAATACTTTATTTTCGTTGTTTAGTTTTTTATTTTACAAAATTTACATATCAGATAATCAGAATATTACAAACGGGACCATTCTTTAAGACAAGTATTGCAACTTTTAAATTTATTGAATTAATACCCTACCTTCAAGTTTAAAGCTTTGTGAAAGTCATTTAGTGGGGAGATAGGAAAAAAAGCGTCTGAATAAATAAAACATAAAAAAAAGACTTAAATTTAGGATTTTCTGTAAGTAAGCCATATTTTCTAGTTCAGATAATTTCAACAGACGAAACACTTATTTATCTCCCTTACATTACATATTTAATTGACAATTTACTTTTGCATTTAAGTTCAGCTTAATAAATTTTAAAAACAGAAAGCTACTCTACCTTGAAGTGAAACTTTATCAAGAAATGTAAGAATACATGAATAGAAATCACTAAAATAACTTGAAAGAATCTTTCCCATGCTTTTTGAACAAAAGTGTTATATTAAGCAATTTTTTAATTTTTTTTTAGTTTTTAAACAATTCTAGAAAAATTAATTTTTCTAAAAGTATAATCATCACATTTATACACTATATAGAAATTGAAAATTATTTCTTTACAGTTCTCAAGCAAGGTGATAAAGCCACTATAATGCAAGGCTGTTACTGAGAAAAATCATTATTAAGGAGAAAAGATAATAAAAGAACAGAATTCAATGATTGACTTTGTATTTAAATTTTTGAAGATTTTCTGAAAAAAAAAAAAAGAAAAGTATTCTAATCCTAAGCATTTGGGAGATTATGGAGTTATCTTCTGGATGATGCTTCAGGTTCACCATCTAGACTGATGCTTCTGCCACTTCTTGTCTCTCCAGTATATAAAGTCTGGGTAGGTAGATATGGGGGACAGGCTGTTACCCCCCCCCCCCCCCTACATAAATAATACACATGATTGCAATGTCATCACAGAATATTGCTGAATACATCCAAAACCTGCCTTAGGGACATAGTTGACTCAAAGCTTTTCTCATGAGTGGATATAGCTGCAAGATATTGGAGATTTTTAATTCAGAGTTGCCTTTCACCTAGACCTATTGCTAGAGAACTTATTCTCTACTACTTAACTCATAGTTGGAGTAATGTGTATAATGTTAGATGACTTTTCTGGTTCAAACATTTTGAACACAGCCCAAACTTGCATGAAGAGGAAACATAAAACACAATATCTGGTCTGTTTGATAACACAATATTGAGTTGTATTTCAGCACATTATAACCAGTTGCTTGTCTGGTAAAATTGTTTAATAAAATTTTTTTGGTTTAATAGTCACCTTTTAAACTATTCTTCTAACAATTGATAAAATCTTTTCACTGTTAACTTTTCTAGCTGGAGCCATACATGGATGATGGGTTTATCAGTCAAGCTTTCAATTATTATGGAGAAACTGTAGTCAATGTGAAGATCATTAGAAATAAACAGACAGGGTAAGTATAATTTCTCAAAAAAAAAAAAAGAAAAAGTTTTACAGTATTTAAATAGTATTTTTAGAAGCAAGAAATTATCAAGGATCAAAAACAGAAAATATTATCTTTTGTCAAGTAAATACTTAAAAAAAAAAAAAAGTTAGCAAATTCATATTTCTGATTTCTTTCTCTTTTTATTTATTTTTTGAAATCATTTCACCCCAAGCAAGGCAATGAAGCCACAGGGTTACTGAGTGTGAAAGAATGAGAAAAAGAAAACATTAAGGAAAGAGAATGAGAACAATAAAATAGAAGATAACAATTGATATTGAATTTAAATTTTTTCAGATTAAAGTTGACTAGGAAGTAAGAAGCCAGAAAAGAATTCCACAACTGATAAACCTGAGAGAAGAAACTTTTAGCATAACATTTATGGTTACATTTAGCTATTTCAGCTGTAAAACAATGGGGACTTATTGCCAATCCAGTACTGCACTTAAATTCATAAAGTCTAGGTACAAAAGAGGAAATCTCATCAGAACATTAACCATGAAAATATTTATAGAAAAGGCACAGTAAAGCTATATTATGGCAGTGGGAAAGTGACTGAAGTGTGGTAGCACCTTTTAGGGTCTCAGCCATGGGCAAATAGTGAACTGCTGAAACAAAGTAATATGAAAGAATAAAAGTATGTTTTATAGTAAAAATGCCAACAATACATTTTTAAAGCAAAGTAACCAGCAATACATTTTATCTGTATTTCAAAGTATACAATTGCATTCAAAATATATTTAGTTGAAGCCATAAAACTCTGTTCCAGTTATTTTGACTTCAGCATTAAATAACCCATAGAGGTTGATATGCTGCTGAACAAAATTGATCAAACAACCAACATAAAAGAATTCTTTCATAATATTAATCCATATATTATCTAACAATCAAACTGTATTCCAAAATATAACTTCAACAAAACTACAACATAAAACACACATATCACCACCTTCAGTAATTATGTCCCCACAAACATATATATGCACAAAAGATGAGTATCATCTACCAAGTATTCTATTGTGAAAGCAGAATAATATATCATATTTTTATTACTTCAGAACTCTTGAGAAAATTAAATTTCAGCATTAAATACCCCATAAAGAGTTGATATGCCATTAAATAAACCAATTGATCAATATGTGTCATAATAGCCAACAATCATTCTACTGCTATCCTACAGAGTACCACATTTGGCAAAAGAAGAGACGGACAGGAAAAAATGGGATGATAATGTCGTGGCATGAATTGAAGGATCATTCACAGACTCAGACATTGGCTTACCACCAAGACATGGAATTGTGCAGTGATCCTATAACCACACCCAGTGATGTGACTGATGATTACATATTAATATATACACAGGAAATCAAACGACTTATGTGAGAGAAGCAGCCCATTTTAGTCTGTCTTCCTGTTTCTAAACCTACTTACAAATATTACAAACGTCTGTTAAACGTTACACTAAAAAAAATGAAAAAGCAAATAGTTATTACCGTTTTGGTCATTTCAACTTTGTTCAAATCCTGTTCCATCAACTTTTGTACTTTTTTTACATGTACACCGAATCAACTCCTCCTCCTCATATTCCATTGGTTATGATGAAGTTCCTCTCAGACAACTTCTTCCACAAAATTGTAATGTTGTAGAACAGACTTCAAAGAGGATGCTTCCCTGATCACTATGATCTAGAGTCAACCATTATCTATTCTACATATCCTTATAATATATACTTTTTACTTCCTTCTCTGACACCCTTACAACAACTTCATTCAGTGACCACTCTATTTTGGTGGCTCTTGGGCCTTGTATTGAGTGAACAATAGTATAAAAAATCATGACTAAATAAATGTTAAATTTAGTTTTCATTCTTTCAAATTAATTTAACTTACACATTCATACGATTTAAAAATAAAAAAAATACTTACTATGCTACTGCTTATGCTCTTCCAGTTGACCCACTCAGTAACATTGTCTCTCCCAAATTTTTCCTCCCTTCTTTTGCATAAGACGGTATCTTGTAGGATGACAGTGGAAAGATTGTTGGCTCTTACATGTCCATATAATTTCAACTTTCTCTTCTTGGCAGTGGTTATAAGGTCTCTTTCACTAGGCCAACAGCAAATACAGACCTTCCCCTGTTTCCTTTAGTGTAATAAAAGCAACTAACAAAATATTATTCATTTTTATATTATAAGACAATATATGTACAATCCATGCAAGTAGCATTTCCTGCTTAATTCCAGCACCTGGAATCTCTACCTTTAACCATCATGATATTAAATAATTTATTATTTCGATATAACTTTTCAGCTGTTTATGAGTTATGTAATTTTTCTCTTTTTTTTTTTTGCTAGAGTTCCTGCTGGCTATTGTTTTGTTGAGTTGTCTACCCCAGAAATGGCACACCGAGCTATGCTTCGACTGAATGGTAAAATTATACCCAATAGTGTTCCTGTAAGTTGATAAAATTATTTTTTTGTGTAGTAATTGGCTATGTTTAAGTGTAATTGGCAAAAATGTTCAACAAATAAAATTGACAAAGTTTCCCATAAACAATAAGAAAAAGAAAAAAAAGAAAAGTAATAACAAAATAAAAATATATAATATATATATAAAATATATATATATATATATACACAAGGCAAAGCAACAGTAATAAGGAAAGGAATACAGTCCAGTGGTTATAGCATTCTGACTTCAAGACAAAATAGAACAAAAATATGGTGGACGAGACTGAGAAGTGATCCATTTTTATTGGTTAGGAGAAATCCCAGCAGTCATCTGTAAGATTTGTTTATAAATTTGGTGAGGGGATGTTTTTAGGAGTCATTTTCCCCTGATTGGAACCAACATATTTAAACTACTAAGTAGGTACTTAACTTTTGTCCTTCATTATCCAACCATTGTGAAGCCTTTTCCTCATTTCAGTCCCTTCTATTTTTTGGGGGTTAACTTTTTTTTTTTCAAATTCTTTGTTTCTTTTATGTTTCCACATTTTTAATCATGTTAAAGATTTCTTCCTGCTAGAGAGTAATTAATACTGTTTTGATTTTTTTAATTCTCAGAAGCATCATGACAACAACAATAATAACAATTTATATTATTATTGTTTGGAAATGTTCATGATGGATGAGGAAAAGAAATAAAAATAAAAAATATTAATAAATTTTGCATAAAATAATAACACATCTGAAATAATGTTTTATTTATATATAAAATATGTGCATTTTAATTTTTTTCATGGGCATCTTTATATTATGCAGCAATTAGAAAGTCTTGGAATGAGCACAAATGCAGACCCCCTACAGTACCATGTTACAAATTGAACTGGAAATTGCTTTCTTCTTTAAACTAAAGCATTTTATGGTATTGTAGCAAAAATCTTATTACAGCGTTACACCAACAAACAAAAAAAATCAAATTCTAATATACACAACTACAATATGTCAACTAGTTATAGAAAATAAAAACCAAACAGCCTGTCTCATCTAGGTTTATAATGGTGAAAATCCAATTTCTTATGTAAACAACTTTTTAAGATGTCAATCTGGATAACCTACAGGAGAAGAAAAACGAATAACAGCAAGTCTTCTGCAGCAGCTGTAACAAAAGAGAAAAGATTCAGTGAGTGCAGTCAAGCATGACAAGCAGCACTCATCAGCAGATAGGTTAGGTTTAGGGTTCCAAGTTCTCCACAGAGAATTGACCCACTTAGTGGATTAATGCATTGGTTCATGGATTTGGTGAATTAACAATTATTAGTTCAATCCCTTTGCCAGGCAGTGTATACTTGGAATCTGTGAAAACAGGGTGATTAATAACTGAATAGTATTAAAAATGAGAACTAGACCAGATATCTCAAGACAACAGTCTGCTCCTGTAGATTAATTAAAGGGTTCAATTCGAAATCCCCTGTATGTTACCAAGATTGACATAAACCGAGAACACAACAACTGAAACATTGTGATAACAACAAAAGAGATGAGAATATGTCCATATGTAAATAGTGCAAATAATGATAACTCCTCATCCCAGGAATTCAAACAACTTTTTAAAAGTAGAAATGATTGGGCAGCCATCACTTTTATGCTCAGTTCTAGATCTTCAATAGATTTATTCTAGACAACAAACTCACTATCACTGACAGTGAGTAAACAGCACAGATTGAAAACAAAGGAAAGGCCAAATAAAATCGAGGTAACCAAAGGAGGTGTTATCATTTGATGAATTATTACTGTTCTATTTATTTTGACTGCTTTTGCAAGAATTAAAGTTACTCATGATATATTTTAACTATCCGTAGAGACTTTATTGTAATGGATGCCAACAGCTGCATTAGGATCAGAACAAAAGAAGACATACACTCTAAAAGCTCTTCTATATTCTGTAACATCAATTTAAAGTATAAAACTAATATTCACTTGTTAAAAGCATGAGAACAAATTGAAATATTGAATAAGAAATGAAAATATTACTGTGAATACAACATGAATATTGATGTTTTTTCTTAGAAGAGAAAAATCTAATGAATTGGCTGAAAAATTCCTCAAATGTTGATTATCACCACATTTCTTTCAAGTACTGTGTATACTCACAGATAGGTCATCCCACTGGATAGGTTCCACCCCCTACTTTATGGCTTAATAATTGATGATTTACTGTTGACTTGCAGATAGGTTGCACTATAATCTGGGAGTTACACAACCCTTTTTAAACATACAAAAATTGAATTTTTTTCCTTCATTTCTTTTGGCAGTTTGAGCAATTTGTGTTTTTTGCCAAGGTGTCAAGCCCCATCTGTTCATAAACCTTGTACACCACCCTGCTGAGGATCTAAATTATGCAATATTGTATTTGGGGGCCAGCTGAAAGGCTCTGGTTCTTATTGAAAGTCTTGTTACAATAAGGCTGTTATTTTTTATGTTCACAACCCAATCATACAATTCTTTTTCCATATTTTGATATGGAGATACTGAATACCTTGCTGCTCTTTTGGCATTTCTTTAAGCTGCTCCTTCTACTTTTTCCATCTTCTGACAACTTTTCTGAAATTCCAAACCGCCTTTCTGCTGATTGATTTCCATGTTCTTTGCATAATTTAGTATTTTTAATTTAAAACCTGCTTCATAATTCTTTTACTCATGATTATTGTTTGTAACAATTAAAATTATAAGCTATAAATTTGTCTACCAACTATATCGCTGCACAATGCAAAATAGTGTAAACATTTTGGGTACTAGATTCATGCACTTTGTTATTTGTAAATAACACTTAAGAAAGCCTTTTAATGTTATATGAAACAATCATTAAAGAAAATTATCTCATAAAGAACATATTTCATTATTTTAAGTTATGCTTTCCAACATATTTTTGACAAAATATATATTTATATGAATTGTGGGAACTTTTTTTTTTCTTTTCTTTTTTTTTTTTTGTCAATAAACATCTACACATGGTTCCTTAACTTATGCATGTTCAGAGTTTCTATATCAGTCTAGTGAGAGGGCCCTGACCAAACTGACTGATGGATAAATGAATATTTTATAATTTTATTTATATGTGAATCTAGCAGCATAAAGTAAAATTAAAGCAGTGAGTCAGTATATATGATAGATAAATTGTTTCTATATGGTGAAAAAGCACAGCTTTAGTGTTTATGGGTATCATTTCTGATTTCTCAGAAATCATGATGACAAGGAAGTGTTGTTTTACATTTATGTCGAACAGATAGGTCACACATCTAATATTTTGTGAAATTTTTGGTAAAAAAAAGTGTGACCTATTCATGAGTATATACAGTAATTAAAGTAATGAGGCTTACAGCCATATCACATTGAAACCCCAGTACTCATATGATAACTGAAGTTAAGCAATGTTGAGCCTGGTCAGTACCTAGATGGGTGACAGCTTGGTAATACCAGGTGCTGCAAGCTTGTATGTATGTGTGGGTGGTGTAAAAGATAACAGCTCAGAGTTGGAAATGGGAAAACTGAGTTCCAATTACAGTCAAGTTCATTATGTTCCCTTAAGTGCAAATAATCCTGGGGAAAAGTATGAATTCATCTCTTCTCCCCGACACCTATTAATTAATTAGTTGAACATGTATCAGTAAAAAATATTATCACCAAAAAACATACTTACAATCTAAAAATATTTTGTGGCTTTAAATAACCTGCAAAACGTTAAGTTGTAACAAACTAATCAATTGCAATAAAAAAAAATGATTTTGTAAAAGAAAATTACAGTTTGTTTATTTCATTACAGCACAAGAGATTCAAATTGAACCGTGCCAGTTATGGAAAAGAGCATTTATCAAAGTGAGTTAAAATCCTTTTTGTATTCTTTATAACTAAAATCATCTTGGAATCTTTTAAGATGAAAATGTATTATTTAGATACAGTTGATTTTAAATAAATTTTTTGTTATTTATGAGTAATTTTATTTTCATAATCCTGTGAATTGTTGCCATTGCAAAAATCAAAGGTGTATTTCTTTGTAAATTTGTTGGGAATCAGTGGAAAATGATTCAGCCAATTGAAACTAAATATTTATTACTGAAAGATGAGATAGTTTAAAAATGTTGTTGTCTTCTAATTGATGGAACGCTGTATGTAAGTCAATCCTTTTAATTTTTGATCAAAAAATGAATTTATTATTTGCCTTATGAATGTCAGCTTCTATTAATTTTTTTTTTTTTTTTTTGGATTAATAGAATTTGGACAACTGAGAATAACAAAGCCCTAATATTTCATGATATATAAAACATATTTTAGGAAACTCAAAAGCTCTGTGCTATGAATTAGCATTCATTATCATTTCTTGGTCTTCAGGCTAAGATAAATATGTAGTGTATGTTCTCCTCATTTTACATGATAGACAGTGTCTGGTCCCAAGGATTTTAGTCTTGCAGCAGCACTTCCCCTCATTGCATTAAAGGAGGGAAGGGTGGTGGAATATCGACAGCAGTGCAACACTGGTTGCAGGGATTGGGTAATTTTTGGATTGGCCAAAAGCATCCCCGCATTAAAAAGACCTTGTGCTATATTTTGCCTCTGTGGGGAGGCAAGTAAATAACCTCATCAAGCTTGAAGAATCAATCAATGACTAAAAGCAAAATGCTTATTTTATTATTATTATTATAGCACCTTATATTAAAACACAGGAAGACTGCATATATTTATATATATATATTATATATATATATATATACACACACACACACGTTTGTGTGTGTATGTCATCCACATTCAAGCCTATTTAGCTGTATCATAGCTCATCAGTGTGGCTAGACATCTGATTGCTTCAAACTGAGATTGAAACTCTACTGATTTGGCATCAGTCAGAGATTCTACCCCTAAGCTATCAGCACACAGCAGAGAAAAGGTATCTTCTAATGTATTATATACATGATGTATACAAACGCCTAATCGGTAGCCAAGAGTGCTGAATTCATAACTGAAGAGCTATATATATATATATATATATATATATTTATATATATAGGTACATCAGTAAGTGTATAGACTACTGATGTAAAAAAAAAAAAAATTAGATAACAAATATTTTTATTCATCTCCTTTCTTGTCAATGTACTTACTACTGTTTCTTCATTAATCACATATGAACATTATACAGTGAGAATTTCAGATCAAAATTCAATTTATGACTGTCAGGTTATGGACTAATTGACTTTTTTTTTCCCCCTGGTATTCTGTATCTATTGAAGTGTTTATTCAAGACAGGAATTCAAATTGGTAGATCTAACCATAAGTTCTAACAGTTTTTTTCTCTCACACTTTTTACTTCAGCTTCTTATTTTCCTGTCAACTTTGATCTTCAAAAATTTAAATACAACGTCAATCATGTTTTTGAATCCTGCTCTTTTGTCCTTCTCAACATTTTCTCAGTTTCTTTCATGTTCAGTAACCTTTTGCATCTTAGTAGCTTTATCACCTTGCTTGGGGGTGAAATGATTTTAAAAAAAAAAGATAGAAAATATTGAAAAATGTAACTTTTATTTTTGTCTGAAGCTAACTGTTTATCTGAGCATTTTCCATCATGTACAGATTTCATTCAAAGAAAATGATTGCCTAGTATGAATTAAGATTTTTTTTTTTACTTTATTTTTGTAATTAGTAACTTTTTTTAGTCATTACATCTAGTCCCCTTCTTTCATGCACTGATTTCAACTGAATACCAATATATAGACCGACTCCAAATTTTGCACCTAAAGTCTTCATTTTAAAAAATGAATTGAGTTTTTACCTCCTATATGAATGTATACATAATTGACATTTTTGTAATTTACAAGTGAAAAAAAAAATTTTTAAATTGTCCTTCTTCAAAATGAAAAAGAAAATGCTTTAACTCCTTTTGATACTGTGCATGAAGAAAAATTCTTTAAATATAAATTTAAATGATCTACTCTCTAAATTAGGTAACTCCATACTGTCATCTCTGAACACGTACATCTGATGCATTGTTACACTCTTAAATTTTTATGATTCTAATTTAAATACCACCTGAAGAAACTGCCTCCACAATCCTATTTCTCTCTATTCATATCAACCTTTGGGCATGTTTAAAGTTCATGTTCAAATGGTGATAATCAACACATCAATTTACTGCTAAATTCACCATATGTGCTCTTTGTCCATTTTTGAATGCATATACTCAATGACAACTATGACAATCAAATTTTCTTTGGTTACTAATATGACCCAGAGAGCATGTTTATAGCAACATAGTCAATTTACAATATAACACTAGAATTTTTATTACTTAAACGTTATTTTTTTAATGGATACTCATATTTGCGTAGACCCTCCATTTATTTATTAAACAGTATATTTATTTTTGTCTATTGGCCTGAATATTCAAGAAATCTCATTAGATAAAAGTATATGTTCTCCAGCAGGATTCGAACCTGTGTTCCCCCTAGGGTAAACCATCATTAGATCTGATGTGCTTTGTCCTCTCAGCTACAGAGTGCATCAATGACCAAGCAAAGCTTAATAGTGCCTTTAAACACAGATTTTTCTTTGACTCTAGAAATAGACCCATCTGCTCGGTGTTGTATCCTAGAGTAAACAAAGCAAAGAAAGAAAGAGGATGGATTTTTTATTTATTAATTTGACAGATTTTTGTTACTTAAATGTTATTTTCAGTGGATACTCATAAATGAAAATAAATAAACTGTTTAATAAATAAATGGAGCAGCTACTCAAATACGAGTATCAAGAGGTCAACATTTATAACCAAATGTTGACCCATAATAAGCATCACCAAGACATGATAATTATGAGTCTCCACAACCACCCCCATCCTCACTCCTTCCAAAAAAAAAAAGTTCAGTGTTATAGCCATGTTTGCTGCAATAAAAATCCAGTAAATAAAAATAAGTTTTGATTTTTGACTCTCACCTTTTACTTTTCTAAACAAATGATCTGTCAATTGGTGCATGTCTTTTTGCTTTTCTTTCAGGCCAGAGTATTCTTTATTTGTTGGGGATTTATCTGATGATGTGGATGACTATGATCTCTACAGTGCTTTCTCCAAACGCTTCCGATCGTGTAGTGCAGCTAAAGGTGACTCATTTGCTGTTTATCATTTTGAATTTTAGTGAAAATATTGCTCTTTATTTGTGTGTATCTGCATTTAAGTAAAACACATTTTTGTTTGGTACAATCTGTTTGATTTTCTGTATATATGTTAATATGACAGAATGGTTATGAGGACATGGTTGAAAGATCTCATTTTGACCCACTTACCACAAAATGGCTTTTTTATTTATATTTTTTTTAAAGAGTTCTTAAAAAGAAATTTTTCAACACCCCTATATAAATTTATAAATTAACTAGCAGTATAATCCATCTTTGATCGGATGCTTCATTACTGGAATTCTTTGCCATTCACTTGGAGCAGTTTAAGTTTAAAGTTAGCTCACCTGAAAATCAATATTAGTAACAACAATTGGGTGCAACCGAGGCACATCACCAAATATGGGGGGGGGTAAACAATTTGAATGGGTGGTGGCCCTGAAAAGGGCCGTTTTTGCGTTCTCAATCTTGTTTCAGCCTCACATGCAGCAGCAGTTGAAGAGGCATTTCTCCTCCGCCGTTGAGTCCTTTGATCACCATTTTCAACCTCACGCGCAGAAGCATTCAGGTATGCTCTTCTGGAAAGTCGATAGCTACATTGATTTTCAGACTCAGTGGCTCTGATTGAAGCATTCCAGGGGGCATTTTGAGACGGGCAAACTGAACGTTCTAAAGACAATTCGTTATCCCTTATTTGCATGGTCGACCTGGCAGCATTGGTTTTGTGACCTTTTCTTTGGTGGCATGTCTTAGGCAAGTTTGAATTGTCAAATGGAATGCATGGGCAAATACCAGAAGAGAAAGCTATAAAGCTACAGGGATCACTAAGCTTGAATAACTTTAGGAAAGGTTGGAAAAATAAATGTTAATAAAAAAAAGCAAGCTTATTACTACGGTGAATGCAATGCAAAAACTGGCAGGACAGTACAAAAATTTAAATTGGGAACGGCAATAAATGACAATGAAAGTGATGCCTTAAAACTGTAGTAGTAGGCTTTATGCAACAGAAAAGATAACCTCACTTGAGAGAGATTGAACTCTTGGCCAAGAGAAGGGGAATGTGCAAGCAGGGCTACAGAAGTAGAAGTGGAATTAAGTGGTAGCAATGAGCTTAGGATTGTGTAGACAATCAGTATGACACAGCAACATTTGATTGGATGTGTAAAGAGGCTTCGTGCAGTGAATGGGCAACTCTAACAGGCCATGTGTATGCATATGTTGCAGGGCCACACATACATGCGTTCCTGCACATGCTAATTATCAAGCTCAGCAGCAACTGATGGGCAATGTGTGTAGGTGTGAATCCTGCCCACACAGCATGACCTAGGATTGGAAGGTTATGTGTGAAAAAGTAATATTAGGAAATGTATTAGGCGAATGAAACTGAGAGATGAACAAACAAAACTTGGTAAATGGACACATAGTTGCAGAATGAATGGGTTTACTCGTATGCAGGCAGAATGGTGACTAAACGTCGAGGTAACAGGGCACATCACTGATGTCTTGCACCTATAAAACTTATTTTAGGTTCGCTACAATTGAGTTGTTGTTTCACAGGAAAAATGATGAAAATAGGATGTCCCTGACAAAAGTTCTCTTGCTTGAGACATCATCACCCCCAGCTCCAAAAAAATGTTATTTTGCATGCCTGTTGCCTCGTGCAACTGCGCATTGAACACCCCTGCAAATGCTACATGACCGTCTCTTTATTGCGCATCTTTTGAGTTAGATTTCAACTCTCTAAATTGATTGTGTACTGGTTTTTACAGACATTAAATTTTACCTTCGATTTTTGCAAAAAATCAGTTTTTTCTTTTTTTGAAAAAATCAGTTGTTTTTTGTTTTTTTTGATTTGTAAATTTTTCCAGACAATTTGGACTCAAAACCAGCACTGAAGAATTATCTATCAAACAAAAAAAACTTCATCAAAATCAGATGAAAACTGTGGAAATGCATAAACAACATCCGATCACACACATACACACATTTTGAGAATTATAGATATAGATTACATTTTCAGGTTCTCTTCACAGATGTGTTAATTATAATTATTATTTGTAATTATATTAATTATAATATTAATATGAATTATTTATAATTTATATAATTAATTATATAAATTTAACTATAATATATAATATTATTGTAATAATTTAAACTATTTATTTTTATTAAAGTTTTTACAAAAGATATATATCCAAGAACAGATATTAAATAGTAAAACATTGCTGAGAGTTATAATGGACAGGAAGTAGTGGAGAGCCATTGTCACCAACAATTTGAACTCAAAACTGTCACTGAAGAATTATCTATCAAACAAAAAAATTTCATTGAAATCGGATGAAAACTGTGGAAACACATAAACATCCGATCTCTCTCTCTCTCACATACACACACACATTTTGAGAATTATAGATATATAGATAGATGTTAAAAAAATTACATTGAGATTAATGTATATGTTTTTGAAGCATAGCTTAGTGACACAAGGCCAAAAGTATGAGAGCACCCAGCATTGATCAAACTCCCTATTCAGTCATAATTGATGTTAATGTATAGGAGACTATCATGATTTTTTAATTTTTTTGTATAAATTACTAACAGTAGTTGATAGTTTTCTTTATAGGAAAACTATAACACAAATGTTGATTGATAAACAAGTTTAAACCAAATAGATTAATGAAACTAGTATCAAATTGAAGTAAATATACGCTATAAGCCAAAAGATTGGGGCCAGCCTATGGATTTCAAAGAATCACCTACAAATTGAAGGTTGTATGCATTTTTTTTTACTAGCTCACTTTGGTCAGAAGGACTTTCTCTTCCTAAAAAAATTTTAACCTATAGTGTATTTCCCTTCAAAGTTATGATGGTTGATTGATAAAGTCCCCAATCCTATAAAATAATTTTCAGAGCAGATAGAATAATGTAACTGATATCAAAATAAAGTAAATTTATTTTAGGAATCTATCTTAGACATTTATAAGTCTACCATTTATCCATCCCTGCATTGAATATTACTGTCACATTTGATCAGCTGCTACTGTTATGTATTTGTTATACTTTTTTTTTTTTAATTTTCTATTTTTTTTTTTTTTTTAATTCTACCCATGAAGTTTTTATGTTTTTTTTCTTTTTTTTTTAATTGATTGTGCATAGCAACTTCGATTTTGGCATCAGAGAGAAAAATGTTTTACATTTCAACTTCCTGTTTCAATTTTGGAAATGGCCAGAAGTCTGATGATTAGACTTTTACAGTGTGTTTGTGTGTGTGTTTCCATTGTGAATTGCAGGATTTTTTGTTTATTTGTTCAACTTGTTTGTTGACTGGAATGCAAGGGTTATTAACTTTGTTGTTTTTTGATTTGGCAGAAATTCTATAAGAATGATCACTGCATAGTACTCATTACTTGTTACTAATAAACATTATTATTCAATTGATAGCACACTGGAAGAGGATTTTTTTTCTGCTATTTATTAAAACCTATTTCTATCTTCATTATCAGTGTCAGCACACAATAGGAGATCTTGCTTATCAATCAACTATATTTAAATTTCTTTTCTTTTATCATAGAAATCTATATACTCTTTTGAATGTAAATTGTAGATTTAATGGTTTTCAATATCCAGGTAAATAGATAAACTAAAAAATGAAATCAATGCTGAAAAACATACTTGCAGGTGAATAATATTTGTCTAAAATAACAAAAAATGTAGTTGATGATGTAAAATTTGATTACTTTCATTTCAATACTTACTAGATCACCCATAAACCCATTGCATTTCTTTTGAAAGCAGTTCATGATGAAAAATGATAAGGTAACAATATTATAGATTTTATTTTATTTATTTATTTTTTTTTTAAGCATTTTACCCCAGGCAAGGTAGGAGTGCCACTAGCACACAGAGAGTTACAGAGAGTGAAAGTGAGGGAAAAGATTGGGTATATAGGGGGAATTGAGAAAAGGATAAAAGATGAACAGAGATCAAGGCTGGTGATTGATGTTGTACTTATCAGGGAAGCAAGTAAGAGGAAGTGAGATCCACGGTCAGGAAGTGTGAGAAAAACTGTTGGTGGTTACATTTAACTATTTCAATAGTAAAAGGGTGGGACCCAGATGCCAATCTAGTAACATGCTTAAATTCATGTAGTCGGGGCATCAAGGGAAAAAAAAACTTAGCAGTTGCCATGAAAATATTTGTAGAAAAGACAGAGGGAAACCACATCACGTCTGTGAGAAAGTGACTGTAGACAAGATGCTAGGTCGGGACCTACCACATTGCAGAACCTTCTTTGGATTTTTTCGAGAACCTCGAGATGAACAGGAGGGGCTCCAGACCAGATATGGCAACAGTATTCAATGCACAGATGAATAGTAGGTTTGTAGATGTATAAAATGGACTCTGACAAGAAAAACCTGGCATGACACAGTGAACCAATTTTTCTTGCAGTAGATGCAACTATTGATTCAATGTAGTTTTTCCACCTCAAGTCAGTTGAAATCATGAAGATCATTGATAAAGATCAGAAACAGTGTAGGACCCAGAATAGAGACACGTTCTTATGAAAGGATCTGGAAGAGAGCCCATTCAGAACGACCTTCATTTCACGATTTGATATGAATGATTGGATTAAATTAAATAATCATTTAGTTATACCATAGCCCGAAGCTTATGTAGAAGACCAGCATGCCAAACTCTGTCAAACTTTGAGATATCTACAGCCACAGCTTGAGCTTTGCTGTTATTATCAAGAATTTGATATACATATTCAGTTATGGTCATAAGCACATCAGCTGTAGACCAAACAAAATGGAATCCATATTGTTTGTGAGAGGTAAGATGCTTAACCACTTTGGCATTGATTAAAGCCTCAAAGATTTTGCCAAAAAGTGGTAGGAGACTAATAGGGCAGTAGTTAGAGGGGCCAGAAGCTTCTCCAGAGTTCTTAAAAAAACAGGGACTACAGGGGAGGACTTCCAACAAGCTGGAAAGCAGTGAGCAGCGAGGCAATAGCTGTGGAGTTTAGAGAGAACTGGAGCCAGCTTGGGAGCATATTTCTTTAGGACAACGGCTAGTATTCCACTTGCCTTGTGGGGGTCTAATTTAGAAATGATGTCCAAGACCAGCAATGTGGTTATGCACATATCATTCAGTTCTAGTGGGTGGGTGGGGGTTAATCAGGTGTGGGTACTCCAGATAAGTAGTGTTGAGTTGAATGAGAATTTTTGAACAAAGCATTCAACCTTATCTGCTGTAGATGTTTGGACTTCGAATTGATTGAATAAAGGAGGGATTGAGGATTTGTTGTTGTTCAGCACACTCTTGCAGAGCTGCAAATAATCTCTAGAACCAAATTTGCAAGATGCTATGTGTTGTGTCATTCTATCAGCATACGATATCTTTGCTTCATTGAGGACACACTTGCATTCATTACAAGCAGAAACAGAGAGAGAGGTCTGTTGCAATCAGACATGTAACTCCAGTACAGCCAGAAGAAGTGATTCCTGTGGGCTATAGTGGCTGAGCATGCAAGTGAGAACCAAGGAGATGAATGCAGTTTAACTTGGTATTTCCTTGCTGGAATGAAAGCATCAATGTTGGCTTTCACCCAGGAGGAGACCCCAACCACACATTTTTGAATAGGATGATTAAAAACTACATTCCAAGGGATGTCACAAAAGAAATCATGGAATGAGTCCTAGTCTGCTTGTTGACACATTTTAATTTGTATTTAAAGACGGTAAAAGAAGATATATTGTCTCACTGGGCTTCAGAGTTAACACATTGAATGGAAATTTGGAGTAATAGATTAAAACATATGCAGTCTTTTTCAAAATAATACGTATAATTTTTATTATACATACTTTTCTTGTTTCTTCCTCGCGTTTACTTCAAAATACATAACAGCAACAAATCAGCATGCATCTATTTATTTATTCACCCTCAAGTTATGTGACACATATAGCCTCTTCACTTTTTACAAGTCATTGTTTATAAAAAAAATTCTAATGTAGTATAGTGAATTGTATAAATATGTTATGTATATTTAAATTTATTTAATAATGTTGTTAGAATGTATTATGAATGTTTATTTTTCAAACATATAATAGTTGGAATATAATATGTAAGTGTTTGTTTATATACATGGATTGATATAAGAATGTGTATGGAAAACAAATACTGAATTTCCTATTAAAAATGCCAGAAAAATAGCCCTAACTAAAGAGAACCCTTTGTCTCATTTTAATAAGGTTTGGTACTGCACTTGGTAGGGGTTCAAAGTACAATATGCTGCTAAATTTGTTTGGGTATTATGTATCATTTTAGCTGTAACCTGGGAACACATGTACAAGATTAGAGTTTGAGTATTTTAGAGATGTAAAGCTTTAGTATACTCTCAAGTTTTCATATCTCTAATTTAAAGACACCATCAAGAAATTAGACCATCTCAATGCTCTTTGTGTCTCTCACTTCAGATCAATGTTGTATTAAGTCTAAAGGTATTTAATTAATGAGATCATCCCCAGACTTTGACAACTCATCTTACCATTATTCACCAAACGTATTCTTTTTTTTCTTTTTTTTTTTTTTTTTACATCTTTGATTACATAACTCAAGGATAGCTATGATCACTATCTTTGCTTACTCATTGGTTCCTGCAGCATGTTTTTAGCAAGGGATTCAATTTACAATAGAAGTATAAGATTAAAAACTGAAGCCTTACCATCATCTACTTATATCATTTAAAGATGGCTTTGTTCTGGCTGATGATAATGTGAATAAACACTGCAATATTAACAAAACCAAGTATATTTACCAGCAAGGTTCTTATCTTTTATTATATTTTTTTGTACACTATTTATCCTTTTTAAAAATTATTTGACAGACAAGAATCTATGAAACAATTTCAAGAATTTTCCTATGACTTGGTAAAACTATTGTATGTAACAATATTTTGGAAAGAGCAATTTTTTAAGATCAACATTTTCATGAAATACATCTGTTTGATGCTTTGGCACACATTATAAGAATTAGGTCTTGAATTGTTATTGGTTAAGCAAAGCAGATATTTGAATTAATAGCCTTCTTTTTTTTTTTTTTTTTTTTTTTTTTTTTCAGTGGTACTTGATAACTTTGGACGAAGCAAAGGATATGGCTTTGTGCGTTTTACAGATGAAGGGGAACATCAGCGTGCAATGTTTGATATGCAACATGTTTCTATTGGCAGAAAACCCATCCGTGTTAGCCTTGCCACTCCCAAAAGGTAGGTCTAAAATTAAAAGCCAGGTTGGGAATTGTTACCACAGACATTCTTCTGAATGAAATGTTTTAAAATCATTTATCTATTAGTATTTGAATATTTGCTTTGGTCAAAGGTTTTAATCCGCAGTCTTTGTTTGGTGATGCTCTGTAACATTTAGAAATATGAAATCAGGATAAAAGTCAGTAGAATTCCCATATATTTTAGAAGCCGGCATTGAATAAGAAGAAAGCTCTTGTTTTTACCCCAGCTAAAAATAGCTTTCAAAGTAATTAGCCTTTATTTAATGTTAAATTGTCTATTTTAAAAAAGTTCCTCTTTGGCAAAGAAGATTGTCAACCATTAAAAAATTAGCAACCTCTTGTTTGAAATTTTGTAAATACCTCCAATTGCAGATAAAGATTTTACCACCAGGACATTTAATGTTAGAGGACCTGTAAAAAAAAAATAAAAAATAAAAAAAATAAAAAGGAATTATTGGCTAAGGACATTGATAGTTATAACATTGATGTATGTTGTCTTGAAGAAGCCAAAATCAAAGAAGGACTTGATATTAATGCTAGAATTAGCCCAAGTTAATAGCTTTGGAAATATACAGTAAATATTATGGAAACGGTTTTATCAATACCAAATGTAAGAATAACATCCATAGACATTGAAGGAACAATCATAGTATACACATTGAACAATGACATTAAAAGAACTGTCAATAAAATTTTATCACTCCTCATAAAAACTTTGAAGAGCTTGGAAGATCTTTCGGGAGTTAGCAGAGGACAGGAAGGTTTGGAGAGTTTATAAAGTTGAAGATGGCAAATCACTGATTTTTCAATATGCCTCAAAGACAAACCAGCTCTTATGATAATCAGTAGAAAAGAATAATAAAATGCAGAAAGAAAATGTGGTTTTTGAGTTTATATTTGAAAAGTACAATAGAAAATAATTTTTTGCCAGTTTTTAAAAAGCAAAGTAAAATATTTTTATTTTTTTAATCTTTACACATGAATTTAAATAAGGATGTAATAGAAAGTTGGCACACTTGGACTTTCATGCCTGCAAAAAAATATGTGTCAATAGCATTGGTTTTTCCATTAACACTGCTATTATTTTAATGACTTTCACTTATCAGCAATGTTTGTTTTAAAAAGCAATGATTAGAATTGTAATCAAACTGAAACATGATAAAAGTGAATTTATACATTTTTTGTTCATGAGAATTGACATCAAAACACATCATATTGTTTATTGGAATGGTCAGCAAAACATTGGCTAATTGCTAATCAATTCAAACTTTATAAAATGATAAATAATAAGGATTTAATAGTGGCATTAATGGAAAAACTGTCCTTTTGACTCTTTTTGCTTCTTTTCTTCTTTGTGCACGTATGACATTCTTAAATCAAATCATGGAAAAGTAAGAAAGGTTAGAAAGGATAAAGGAGAGAATGGGAAGATACAAAAGGTGAGAGAAGAGTAGAGGTAGGAGATAATGTATAATTGTAGTTGTCAATACCTGTAGAATTTCCATGGGAACAGTTCATTGGATTAAATGTATAAGAGGTTTCTTATTTTTGACATTAGACTGTATAAGCAATAAATTTGATAATGATCAAGTATTTTTTTTCCCCAGACCTCCCCCCCCTGATGTTCCAGGGACTCAAAGTGCACAACAGTACAGTCAGTACTACCAACAGTACCAACAATACCAGTACTACCAAAGCTGGTCAGCTTATTCCCAGTATTACAATCAGTTCAGCTATCCTTATGGTGGAGGATACACCACAGATCATTTTCAAGTCAGTACAATAAAGTTTTAACTATTATAATTTTATTACCAGCTTTATTTTGTCATTGTTGCTTTTTATCATGACTCTCTTGCACTGAATATTATTTTGACTATGTGAGAGCAAATTGTAAATAAAGAAATAGTTTCTAGTATGACTTACATCAAAAACTTCTATTTCAGCCACAAAATGCACAATGATTAAGTTGGATACGATCTGTAGTTATTTTATTCCCACTCTCCAATTCTTTGTGCCAGCATTTCTCAACCCTTGTAGAGCCATTGAAATAGTTTTAATGTTTAAGGGAAACCTCTACAAAAAGATTATTATATGGCATTATTAATATGTATCTCTTTTATAGTTTCATTGTAGTTCATGTGATAAACATAATATATGAACACTGTGCATGCGTTATATACTTGAGTGAATTAATCAATGATACATGAATCCATCACATACAGGTCCTGCCTACTAACCAGTGAAAACAGTTTCACACTGATGCCATACAGACATTGCTAAATTCATTCCCTATGATTATTATAATTTTAAATAATATAAGAGGTTAAAGCCTTTATTATAACAATCAAGGATTTTTCAACAATATGCTGTATGTGTATAGTAAAATTATGAATATAAAATTAAACAAAAGTTACTTAAAAATGCATTAGCCAATTTATCATCGTTTCTTGCGGAACCCCTCATGATCTGCTATGGAAACCTGGGGTTTCAAGGAACACCACCTGAAAAACAATGCTCTATGTTATTGTACTTATTGTCTTTTCTTATGAAATCTTTTCATGATTATTTTATTTACTTTGTTTTATATTGAGAAAAAGTGACAGCAATAATGATGATAAACAGAAAAACTATGATAGTTTCAAATGGGAAGTATACAAATTGTGGTCAATAATGAAAGTGGAAGTCATCCGCATTGTTGTTGGTTGTTCTGAACTTCCAAAATGGCTGGAGAAGATTGGGGTCACTGTCAAAATTGGACACTTGCAGAGGACTGCACTCCTTGGCACTGCTCATATACTCCAAAGAATTCTTGAACCATAATGTAAATTTGCCACCTGAGTCTACTTGTTACATCTCCAGCAAAATTTGATGTTTTTCAGATATGATAATAAAAAAGCAGCTATTTTCATGGTGCTCGTGACCCAATGGGCCAAACAATTCTTAAAGGTCAAAGTCTAATTAATGTGTTAATTTTATTATCTCGATTTCTGAAATCAGGCATTCTTACTATTCAATTCTTAAGAAATTTGTCTGATGATTAAGTAAAAATGTTCTTATTGTAGTTTATATAACTGCTAGGAGCTGCCAGTAATCCCTGTATCCAGATGAAGAACTGTTTTGTTAAATGCCCATTGGCTAGTAGCTTTCTAATAGTTTGAAAAAATAAAATGTTAATGTTCTTGTCAGATATTGCAGCTTAATTTGTACACCACCCTGAGACATTATGATAAAAATAAAAGATAAGAATAAATCTAGAATAAGGCTATTATATGTTTAATGTAAATAAATAAAGCTATTATATGTATAATGTAAATGCATTGATAATTATTTTACAATAAAATGCACTGAAAATGAAAAAGGTATTGTTAGGTATCAGGATTTCTTTTTTTTTTTTTTTTTTTTTTTGACACTGCTTTTTGTTTCATAAGCTTTCTCTAATGCCCAAATACACTTGAATCAGTGTTAGATATTAATTTTGAATTTGAATGTCACATAATCTAAATCAATGAGAAGGTCTCTAACCACAGATGATTCTTGCTAGGGAGAAAACGAAATAAAGGGGAAATCCCCAGTTAAATAAAATGTAGGCCAAGGAGTTCATTTGCCAAAATTTTGTACAACTTTTTTGTGTCACACTATTATTAAAACTACATTTTCTCTTTTTTTTTTTTTTTTTCAGTAACTTTATCATTGTCTGTGTAGTTGAATTTCTTTTACTTTCTGTCAGCCTGAGGTATACCTCCCTCCCCGGCTGCCTCCAACCTAAAGGCAACATTGTTTCTGTTCTGTTTTTCAGTTAATCTCCGTGTTACAAACTAATTAATTTTCATTATTCTTATTTTTTCCCTTCAGGGTTATTATGATCAAGGCACTGAAGAAGAAATGGAAATGTTAGAAGGTGAGTCAAAATCATTTGAATGTAGACTCACTGACATGGTGATGTAATTTCATGTGATTTTTTTTTTTTTTTTTTTTTAATTGAGGGCCAGGGTGTATAAATGATCAACAATTGAGTAGCATAAAGGGTGCTTGATTTAGAAAGTTTAGCTAGTTGTTGTGAGTGACGAATAGTGGAAGACAGATGTGATTTAAGTTTCACAGGAAATAGTTGGTGTCCAATCCATACTGATAACGGTTCATTGCAATCGTCTCTACACATCTATAACAAATGACAGCTAAAAGAACAAAAAGAGGTACATATAACAATTTGGTTATCTTTGATTTTAGAAGCACTTGGTTTTATTATGAACCTAACAAACCAATAGTCTGGATACTTGTTAACAAGATAGTATCCACTTGGTAGTAGGTAATAGTTAACAATGATTCTGGTACTCTTTAGGCAGAACAAAATACAGAACTATGCTTAGTTTCATAGGCTATTCTTTTTGGTCCTAACTGAGTGAGAGAGAGATAATCAAAAGGACGTTGGTTGGCTAAAATTTCATCATCATATGATGGTTTGCCTCACTAATTAATCTGAGAGCGGGAGGCATCTTGACCCTTCCAATTCTTGCAGCCACCTATGTCTTTGCGCCTTTTTGGTCTTGTATCAAAATTTAAACAAAGGCAATCCATCACTGTCAGAATTCCATGCTCACAGGATTCAAACCAAACCCATTGGATTCAAACCACTCTCACTCAGTTCCTGTCATCAGAGTTCTGACCTGTAGGTTACCCATTCTGAACCAGCCTCTATACATTTTATAATATTAATTATTAATAGTTTGTGGCAGACATGAGACAGAACCTGGGACGAGCACAACTGGTTTTGACTTGCCTTGTCCCTGCCAAAAAAGAGCCTGTATTTGCTTAGCATGTAAAGCTACTGCAGTTGAAATGAGGGAGAAAAAAGCACTTACTGCTCTGCCGTAATCCGTCCTCGGCTAGATAACGTAAAAGAATGAGGGGGGACTTGCATTGCATTTTTATGCAATAAAGATGCAATGCATTATGGGACAGGGACACAATGATTTATGGGATCACATGAAGATGCAAGGGATTATGGGTATATGGACAAATATAAAAGCAACTACTTTTTCCCAGTGCGGGGAGTTCTTCGAGTGATGTTCACGGTTGGCGGCTAGAAAAGTCTGTTAGTGTGATTTTGAGACAGAACTCAAGAAGGAACGACTCGAGGTTGGAATACCAGTTGGGAGAGGAGCTTGAATTTACTTGCTGGTTGCTGTTTTCTTTATTCACCAAATAGTTATAATATAATCCCCAGAATAGTAGAATTAGAGATTTTAGAAAGAATGTTTGAAATCCGTAAAGGAAAGGAAAAGGAAAGGAACTAGAAAATTGAAACTTGCTGTCATTTCACCCCCAACAACCAGCACTTGATGTAAATATGCAAAAGCATGAAATAATTATATTGGTGAATGTTATTGATGATTAAAATTAATATTTTAATAAATATTGTATGAAATTTAGGAGATTTTTCTTATATAGTGAACAATTTAATTCTATCTTATCTTTTTTTTTTTTTTCTAGATCCTGCTCTTGAGATAGATGTGGAGAAAGTGAATAAGGAATTCATTGAACAAAGTGAGGTAAATGAAAATAATTTATGTACTTTCTCTTTTATTAGATTCTATTTTTGTGTTCCTCTATTGAAGACCCTAATGTTTCAAATAAATGTTTGACTGATGTATCAGAAAAATTTAAATACCTTTTGATTTGTTTTAATCAGTTTTAATATAGGTTTATGTAACTACCAATACAAATGATGTTTGCTAGGAAATTTTTTTCTTTTAAATGATGTTGAAAAATGACTGTTTTATCATCACCTAAATAAATATCAAGGAAACTTTTGATCTGGATCCAACGAAATTAGGTATTTTCTGAAAGCAAAGGATATATTCTTTCATTTAAAAGTAATATTGGCTGGTGTAAATGACTGAAAATTTTTTTCATGGGGAAAATGTGAAAAAATAGTGAAAATTTTGCATTTTTTCTAGTTTTAAACAAAAATTTTCCCCATTAATAGTAAATTAACCCTTGGGGGGGGATCAGGCATAAAATTGAGAGTTTTGAAGGAAATCAACATTCCTAGGGGGGTCAAAATACAACAAACTCCATTGGTAATTTTCAATTATATGACTGTCTAGGGTTAAAAAAAATTGACACCTGGCCATGGAAATCTTTAGTAAAAGGCGAAAGATCTATCTGCAATTCCTGTTCACCAGAAACCAAAAGTTTTTTTTTTTTTTTTCCAAAAAATAACAGCGATAAGAAAAATTAAACCAAATTGACTTTGACATCTCTGGGTCAAAGGTCAGCCAGCCAGCATTAAACGTTTAGAACAAGTTGTAATAAAACCCACCACTCCCAGATAAGAGCAAAGAGTGAAAAAAAAGGGGGTCAACATTAGTAGGGCTTGATATAACCTATGTTTGAACAATGGCTTGATGTTTTTTGTTTTGTTTTTAACAACCCCCCCCCTTCTAAATTTTAATTGCTTTTAATTTTTCCATTAACCAGGTGTTTATTCTGACATTTTTCTTTGTCACAGATATCTGGATGGTTAAACTATGTCAATCTACCTTTCTATTCTTCAATCTTTGGAAATTTTCAAGTTATATCCAGGTCATTCTTATGAACATCATTTCTTTTCACAGTTTCTTTTTCTTCCTTCCCTCTTTTCCTCTTCCTTCCTTCCCTCTTTCCTTTGCATAGTGGAGTGATTTCTCGTTACCTTCTCAATAGGTTCAACTTTTTCAATTCTCAATTGTTCTGTTCAACTGTTCAATTTTCCTTTTCCTAGACCGGTTGCCAACCATAACTAGAAAACCCAATCTACTATGCTCGAAAGAAGAGATTGCTCCATGCTTCCCTCAAGAATATCATGTGAAGTGAATACAAACTATCTTAGTTAGAATTTAAACATTGCTTGTCAATTTCATTTTCCATGTTGTTGGTCTTCTGCAACCCCAACAAGAACCGAATTACATATCGGTAATTAAATTAAAATTCAATATTAGAGAAACATGGTGGAACCTTTTCTTTTGAACATATCATAATTAATTTTGCTCAATCTTTTTTTTTTTTAGGAAGTGTTTGAAGCAATTGAAGATTCTCGATGGCAACCAGTTGCTAATGTGATGACAACACTAACTCAAGCAGCTGCAGTCATAGCTGCCTGAAATCATACAAATCTCTGGATTTATGCTCATGACTGTCAATGTCATTTCGTGAGATAACTTGGATTTTCTATGACATTGACTGTAAAGTGGTGACATCTCTCCCATGCCAAAAATATTCATGAAATTGGACCATAGATCTGCTCATTCAAAATACATCATTATTTTTCATGTATATTTTGTGTGTGTGTGTGTGTATATATATATATATATATATATATATATATGGCTTATTTGAAGCTTTTGGGACTCTGGTGAACTTTTCAGATTAGAAAATGATTGTTTTTGTTTTTTTGTCTTTCATTATGTTCATGACATACATTCATAAAAAAAATTAAATAAAAATGTCAATGATGTTTGATATTTTTTTTCTGACAGAATCATTAATGTTAATCTTTTGAAACGCTTATATGCCAATATTTTTTTCCTAAAACTGATAATCTTGTTTTCATGTAACAAGAAAAATTTCTGCACAGATATTTGAAAACTGTAGTAATTATAAATTGTTTCAAATCCTTTCATACAATTACAAGAAACAAATACATTTTCTTAATTAGATATTTTTATATATTATATTGATTGTATTTTTCTTTAAATGTTCTTTTTGTAAAAATGGAAAACCATATTTACTTTGTATTTTAAGGAAATTGTTTATTTTAACTTTTCTCACAATTATCTACTTGTGGGAATACAGTAAATAAAGCATAAGTTTGATATGTTTCAAAGTTCAATCTTTATTTTTTGTCTATTTGATGTTCTCAGAATCTCAAATCTCTTCAGGATTATGAATAATTATGGGTCTTTACAACTTTTTATCATTTGCTCTCCGCAATACTTTCTCTTTCTGCTACTTGTTTCTCCAGCCATTAACATAAACTTGTGAAGTTGATTACTCCTTGTTTTCTTTGGATTCTCTTAACTTTGATGTGTGCTGTGAGTGTTAAATTTTCTAAGCCTTCTTTCCTCGTTGCGTCCCAAAATATTTCTGCTAATTCTTTCTGATTATGTGCAACTTCTCTTAGTTCCTCCTCTTAAAACTTAATTTCTCACATGACAATTTCAGGTTTGTTTTTACAATTGATCTAGAAAAGTAGTTATAATTAACAGTTAAGAAAATGTGCCCGTTTTGTGAGAAGCAAAAATTACTGGAACTGAAATAAGTTTAAAAGTAAAACACAAACCTCTAAAATAGGTTTCTTTTTTGCATCTATATCTGGCCCAATTCTGGTTTTAGAGAGTAGAGTTGAGATCTCAGCATTTGGACAAACCTATCATTGCAATTGGAAGAAAAAACACCTTGTTTTTGAGATTTAAAAAAAAAAAAAGAAAAGACATGAAAAAATGTAATCTCAAACAGCCTGGAATATACTGTAAAGTTAAAAATCTGAATTTCTGGGAAACTTGGTAACTTAATGTATCTGTTGAGCAATGTTAAAATGAATTGTTCAGACTGAAGGAAAGAGGAAGTGAAGTTAAGAATAGATAGCGATTGACCCTTGACTTGAAGAGAGATTAGGATTAGTGCTGAGGAAAGCATCCACATGAGAGTCTGTTATAAAGTTGCAGTTTGGGAGGGGGGGGTGAGTAGAACATCCTTCTTACATTTGAAATATGGGCTCGGTTATATTTCTCGATATAAAAATTGTAACCAGCATTTGTATTTCTTTCCACTTATACATAAGTGTCAATTGATAAAACCATTTAGTTTGAAGAAGTCCTTTCAAGGAATGAAATGCGTAATATCAAAATTTTCTGTTCTGTCATTCAATTACCCACATGCATGGTCAAGTAAGATGAATAGTTATTTATTTTTAGACTTTTGACCTCAGCTCTGTTGTTAATATTACTTGATGCCTAAAGAAGAGCAAAAACATTGTATAATAACAAAGATGAGGATATTAGTATGACTAAATAACCTTTGTGTGTGGGGGGGATTCTATAATTTTTTGACAGATTTTAAAAGTACCTGGGGGGGGATGCAAAGTCATATCAAAAGAACATTAACATTTTTGTTCTTTTTACTGTTACTACTGTATACTCCTTCAGCAATTTTTATTCTTTTAAAAAGCTATTTTAAAATTTTAATAAAACCCAAACATAAAATGGGTTTTATATCTTTTTTGGCTCTCAACTTATTTTATTTTCTTTCATTTATATAGCAGAAGCAAATGAAAGCAATGCCTGGAAAATGCAATTTTTGAAAATTCACACAGTTACTCATTGTTAGGTTTATTTAAATTTACCTGTTCAGACATTTTTATAAATTTATGAATAAAAAGAAATATTGTTTTCATAGTTATTTTTTTTATATGATAAATAAATATTGCACTGCAGTCAAGTCACATTTTTATAATCTTGTAAATAAACAATGTTTTTATTCTTTTTATTTACAAGATTATAAAAATGTGACTTGACTGCAATGCAATATTTATTTATCATATAACAATGAAACTATTTATCATAACAATGAAAATTGCTGAGGGAGTTTATAGGAATAGCAGTATCAAGAGAAGAGTGGGGGAGTCCTTTAACACACCCCCAGGTACATTTTTTTTTTTTTTTTTTTTTTAAACCACAAAAAAAAAAAAAAAAAAAATCCATATATTACTGCAAGTTAAAAAAAAAAAAAAAAATTAAATATTCTTTTCAGATATAATATTCATGATTCACAATATTTTCGGTTATACTCAGTGAACTCATCTTCATTGTTATCACAATATTTCAGACATTGAGATCTCCACCCTTCTTCAGGTGACGGTTGATCAGGGTAACATTCAGGCAATTTCAAATTGAATCCTTTATTTAATCTAATGTGTTCTCCGTCTGGAGAGGGATGGACTCTGCCAGGTTAAAAGCCCCAAGACGAGCACACCAAGAAACCAGGCTCTGGCATGCAACTGCAACAGATATAAGAGAATGGTGAACATATTTAGTATGTCGAAGCTCCAATGACTCCTTCCATGGTTATGGGCAAAAGAAGCTCACAGTCTGCTATCCATGTCTAAGAATATCTCATTCTTTTTTATTGTTTTTGAATTTAGCAATATAATTGTGAGTTCATTCCCAGAGCTGGGTAGTACAAATTTAGATTCAATGGAAATAGGACTGAACAGTACTAAAATAGAACAAGACATAACCCTAGGCAAAGACAACAAAACAGGAACAATCTACCTCCATGGATTAAATAAATGGTTTACTAAGATTGACAGAAAAAAGTTGGAAGGCACATTGTTATCATCATCATTATTCAGCCAAAGATGAGGATATTAGTCCATTTGTAAACAATGAAATTCAGACAGAAATAAAACTTTCAGTTGAACAGAATATTCTGCTTTTTAAATCATTAAAAATATCCAAAGAAAGTTAAGAGGAAATAAAAATGCATTAACCATTATTTTGGTAGCAGGAAGCAAGTTTCAACTGTGGCTGCTACCCATAAATTGTTTGAAGGATAAATATTGTTATTGTTTTTTTTTTTTTTTTTTTTTATTATTATAAATAAAAATATAGTTTCAAAGTTAGCCTGCCATTAATTTCAGACTGAGGGAATTCAAGCCAGTACAGAAGTTTAAATATACAGGAAGTGTTTAAAGAGAATATAAGATGTAACACTGAAATCTGAACATGTATTGGACTAGTGAAAGAAGCACATTTCTAAAACTAAGTAAAATGCTGAAAAACTTCATTAGTAACAAAGAAAAGGAGGGCTGGATTGCTATGTGATTGCCCAACATTCACTGTCATATAAGAAAATGGCTATCCCCCCACAGATGAAGAGAAAATTGGAGACAAGAGAAATGTGGTTCTACAGAAGGATACTGAGAATTCCATGCAAGGAGTGAGTAAGCAATGAGAAAAAGAACACTTATACTCAAAATCGGGAAGTGATACTTGAAATTCCTTAGACACACAATGAGGAAGGAATGATCGGAAAACTTAACCCTCACAGAACATACTGGGGGCAAGAGAGAAGGTAGCAAGCCTACTTATTAGACAAGCTTGTGTGAATAGCTATCGGAATGGTGGATAGGAGTCTTAGCAAAAATAGAAAATAAGGGCTACAAGGAATAAGAAGTTTTGGAGTCATGATCACCCATGTCCTGAAGAGATGTTGCACATGGAAGAAAAGTGGAATTATTTGAAACATTAACGCAAGATTCTGAGTTTGATACCAAAATTCTTAATGTTATCAAAAGCCACTTATGTTAAAGATACCTAAGGTTTAAAATGAACTTTTAAAATCTTGAAGTTTTTATTTTAGTTTTAATTTCAAGCTAATAGATTAAGTTTAATATCTACAATAATCAAAATACTTGGTTGTATTTCAAAAACTAATTTAAATTGACTGGAAGGAGTTTTGTCTTTGTTGCTAAAATAGCCAATTAGCATTTTTTTTTTTTTTTTTTAGTTATCTTTCATTGCGATGTCTCTTTCCAAAAAAAAACTCCCCAAAATAAAATACACTTTTTTTAAAAATTTGAGTGATAGTAGCTAATTTAAAGTATAATTAATCAGATTTGAAACAAATATTATTTACTTTAAATTTAAAATATTGTAGAAATTTTTTATTTTACGATTCAGAGCAGATTTTCAGTAAATGGTGTTTCTGTTTGACCAAAAACAAATTTAAATTTAAGGAGTCCCACTTTCAACTAATATAAATATGAAGAGGCTGAAATTTTTTTCTCAATTTCATAAAATTAAGTTTACAGATGTGTAAAAAAAAAAAGAAAAAAAAAATTGTAATAATTCATTTGTGAATAAGTCCTAAAAATTTAATTAAAATGACAATTATTTGATTTTTGCAAGAATTTCCAAGACAATGCGTTTTTAATGCCAAAAATCCCTATACTAATCTGTTGTCCACCCCATTGGTGCAAGAAAAACAAGATTTTTAACCAAAATTTTGAACATTTTAGAAAAGATCGAAAAATACTTACTTTAGTCTTTCCTCTTAAATAACAAACATTTTGATGATAAAACTTTGTTTTTATCAAGTTTAG